TAGCTGCTGAGATCACAGGATGAGGGTCAGGTTTTTTTTTTTTTTGTTTTTATTTTTTTGAGACAGGGTCTTTCACTATTATCGCTAGGCTGAGGGAGCTGCATGTGGCACGGATCTCTAGGCTCACCTGCACCCCCACTCGCACTGGGTTCAAGCCGATTCTGCTGCTCATGCCGGCCTCCTGAGTACGCTGGGTTATTGACAGCGCGTGTCATCCCCTACGCCTGGCGTAATTTTTTTTGTTATTCTTTTTAATTCTTAGAGACAAGGTGGTTTCTCTATGTTTCGGTCAGGGCTGGCGTCTCCAACTCCTGACTCAAGTGATCTGCCTGCCTATACGGCCCTCCAAATGCTGGCGCTATATTACCAGGTGTGGAGTCCTTTACCCGATACTTTTTATTTTTAAATTATTTTTATTTATTTATTTTTTTGAGATGGAGTCTCACTCTGTTGCCCAGGCTGGAGTGCAATGGTGTGATCTTGACTTACTGCCTCCTCCACTTCCTGAGTTCAAGCAATTCTCCTGCCTCAGCCTCCGGAGTAGCTGGGACTACAGGTGTGTGCCACCACTCCTGGCTAATTTTTGTATTTTTAGTAGAGACCGGGTTTTGCCATGTTGACCAGGCTGGTCTCGAACTTCTGACTTCAAGTGATCCTCCCACCTCGGCCTCCCAAATTACAACTGTGAGCCACCATGTCTGGCCGAGATGATACTTTTAAAATATGGCCCTTTCTTCATCTGCGGTGGGCCGCACTCTCCTTCTCTGTAGAATGAAGGCTTCAGTGTTTCTCAACTTCTGTTAAACCCATGCCTACTTTTGAGAAACATGCCCTCTCCAGTCTCCCCTGCTCAGTATTTTGATATGTCCTCCGAGGGGTGTTATGCCTCTTTGTTGGAAGATGATGTGATTTTGGTTCTTTCCAGGTGGTTTTTGTGTGCAGAAAAGACTCTTGAGGGAATCGTTGTGGGGAAAGGGCAGGAGAGAGTGGGGCATCGTCCTTGAGAGCGTGAGCACTGGAGTCGGGGACTTGGGCCGAGTCATACACGTACAATATACTTGTGAACCGTTTAGATCCTGGGCAGAAACAAGACATGTTGGGAGGCTAGGGTTTCCTTTCCTTTAAATATAATTTTGTCCATACTCCCCTATCCATGTGCATTTTTGAAGTTTGCAGTGGTGGGGTTGCGGTGTATAGTCCATTGTGGGATCTGCGTAGTCAGAATGGGATAGCCCCCAACACGCAGTCCTCCTCTCAGTGCAGGGTGAGAGGCTTGCCATTAGAATTTCACAGAGGTCTTGTGGCTATGTCATTTTAATCTTAGTGTCTCACCTGGGACGGTTACTGCCACGATCTCTGCAGTCAGGCTTTGGCAACCTGAAGGTCATGCAGTTTTGGGTTTCCTATTTAAGAAAAAGAAAACAAAATTAAAAATGCAGGCCGGGCGCGGTGGCTCAAGCCTGTAATCCCAGCACTTTGGGAGACCGAGACGGGCGGATCACGAGATCAGGAGATCGAGACCATCCTGGCTAACACGGTGAAGAGAGGCGGAATCCGAGATCAAGGAGAATTCGAGAAACATCCTGGATAACACGGTGAAACCACCGTCTCCTACCTAAAAAAACTACAAAAACCTAGCCGCGCCGCCGTGGGGTGGCGCTGTAGCTCCCCCGCTACATCAGGAAGGCTGAGGCCAGGAGAATCGGCCGGGAAACGCCCGGGAGGCGGTGCTTGCATGTGGAGCTGAGATCAGCGCCACTGCACTCCGCCTGGGCGACAGACGACGACTCCCGCTTCTCAAAAAAAACAAAAAATGCAAATAGTCCAGGTGCATGTGCTTCACGCTGTAGTCTCCACCCGCCAGCTCCTCTGGGAGGCACTGAGGTGGGTGGATCAGACAGGTCAAGATGATCGAGACCCCCTATCCTGAGGGTAACTCAGTGAAACGCTGTCTCAAACTGAAAAATAACCAAAAATTAGCCCGGGCGTGTGGCGCGGTCACCTGTAGGGTCCGCTACTTTGGGAGGCCTGAGGCAGGAGAATGGCAATGAACCGGGGAGGTGAGCCTGAGTAGAGCCCGAGGATCACGCCACTCGCACTCTAAGCCATGGCGCAGAGGTGAAAGACTCCACCTCCGTCATG